TGTCCGAGTAAATTGATTTTTAGAAGGCGACGAAGAGCTGAACTTTTCATAGTTGGACAATAGAACAGCAATTGATATTTCTATTGTCTATTTTTAGGACTAAAAAAACTTTCAACTGGTCTGATATTTAAATAAATAATAGATTTAAGTATATAGAAAGTGGAAATAAAATTAACTCAAAATTTTTGTTTTTGTGACTTAACAGTTTTGCAGATGGGTTCCTTATATGTAAAGAATAAAAATATTGTTATTTTCGACCCCCGGTATTCATAAATAAATTATTATTCATTACATTTCCGCAAACGATTATTGTGACTGTTCATTTTTAATAACTGACGCACATTAAAATTAGCGATCTGCAATCGGTGAAAATATAAAAAACAGTGCATATTGTTTTTCTCAAATATGTCCGATTTAAATTTTTTGTTATGTCCAAAAAAATGGAATACTGCAATATTGAAAATATTGTTAAATACTTTTTTAGTTACCACCTTTTAGCGACAAAAAGGCTATTAGATACTTGATTGCGAAGTTATTTTAATTTTTTTACCCAGCAAAGTTATGTAATTTTTTCACCTAACGGTTCTATAGTCCATTTGCTAAAATTTTTGTTTTAAAACTTTTTTAAAACAAAAATGATTTGATTATGATCCAATTATTTATATTTTTATAATTTATGTTAAAAAAATTTTTCAATAAATATCTGGCAATATGATTTCAACTGATTTTATTATTCAATTTTATTGAGCTTTACACAATTGTTTTTATGCTTTATTGTTTTGAGCCATGTATGTTCAGTTTTTTATTTTATACTTGAGTACAATTCATATTCATATACTTGGCATATTTATATCTAAGGTACCCAGAAAAACCGCTGGAATAGAGCGCTTTTTCTGGGTACCTAGTAGATGACGACACCCGGTTCTGATCGGGTACCAGGCTGGTACTCGACAGTTTTTGCCGGGTACCTGGAATATAAAAGTGCCACGTATCTGACTTGGATTTTTCCAGGAGTTTTCCCGGTTACTCGGAAATGTAGATGTCTAAATGTCACAAATCTAAAGTTGTTTTAATAATTTTTAATCGAGGCGGAATTTGATTAAAAAAAAAAAAAACTATAATAAAAGTTACAAAAAAAAATTAGTTTAAAATCCTTCTTGAATCTATTTTTAGTTTTTTGTCATCTACTTTGTAAATCATCTAAATCGCGTTTTCTTCTGTTTTTGACACGGTCAGTAGACTTTTCAATTAGACTGCTTTATAACTGCATTTTATCTTTTCATCAAGTTGGATAAACGTAACCCATATTACGTAACATATATTATGTAACATTTTCTAATAATTATTGAAATTTATTTAATAGAGAAAGAATTCTTTAATAACTTAAATTATAGCTGAACTTACTACAAATTGTAAGACCCCTTTACTAATAAAAAAATACTATCGGGACAGCGTCTCTAAGTTAGTCTGGTTGAGTGCCTCGTTGGCAATTTGTGTTTTACCGTGACATATTTTTGAGTAAACCATCTAAAGATAAGTTAGTAAAAGCCAGTTTTAAAAAGTCGAAGATTGCAAAAAAATATTAAATATTTAACTGTTTACATGTTTGTATAACTTAAAACTAAAATAAGTGCATTTTATCGAATAACACTTTTTCTTAAAGCGAGATCATTATTTATACATTACTATATCCTTTTCCCATTTTTAAAATGACAGTTTTTGATATAATATTATGACAAAATAAGTAGTAGAATGTGTTTTTATTTCTCATTTATGATTTTAAATACCAAATATTGTTTCAAATATACTTTTTCCAATTTTGTACAAAGTATTTTTTCTCTATCAAATTGTATTACACATATTTTACATTATATATGCATTTAAACTATAGTTTAATTAAAAAAATGAAGTTTTTTTACATTTATTTGAATTGAATTGTTTACACATATTTTTTACATTTATAAGAATTAATAATGAGTAATTTTTTTTTTTTTTTTTACTAAAAATCTAATAATTTAGAAATTGAAAGACTGCAGAGTTTAACTTATATAGAGCCTTAAGGAGTTTTAAATGAAGTTTTGTTCTTAATATTTTAAAAGTTCAATTTTTCAAAAAGTTAATAATTTGCACTTAAGTTGATAATTTGCACTTAGTCCGTTTTTTTTTCTTCTTCAAAACGCTAGTATTTTTAAAAACTAAAAAATATTTTTATTTTATACCATAAAGATCATTTTTTTTTTTTTTTTTTTGTTAATAAAAACTAAAAAAAAAGAAATTGACTTTGAAAACTAAAAAAAAAGAAATTAACTTTGAAAACTAAAGAAAAAGAAATTGACTTTGAAAACTAAAAAAAAAGAAATTGACTTTGAAAAGATTGTCTAGTAATTGAAATAAATTAAGCGGTCTAACTTGTCGTTATTTTTTATTTAATAAATTTTTTTACTTTAAATCTTATTTTAAGGAGCAAAGAACACCGCATTTTATTTATTATAATTTTCTGTTTTTTGTCAAGTATATTGCCACTGCCCTAACCATTTGTTAATACTTAGTTCATTAGAAGATTGCTTTTTTATTGTTTTTGGCTTTGGTTTTTGAGTTTTGAAATTTGGATTTGTTGGGTTTTTTTTAAGGGTATTTTTGCTGGTTTTGTAACATTTATTTTTACTTGAGGCTTTGCCTTCTGTAAAAAAGACGTCTTTAAAACGTCTTATATACGTTGCGAACGTCTTTTAAACGTTTAGGGCACAGCACCTAAAAAAGACGTCTTTTGAACGTCAATAACACGCTCAAAAGACGTCTTTTTTAGGTTCTATGCCCACTAGGCTTTAAAAAAAGTTTGAAAAATAAGTTAACAGTAAGTCAAAAATCTACCCATTAAAGCATACATATTTACATGCATCATTGAGTATAAATAAATTGACGTAACTTTATTAACAATAAGGTGTGTAATTCTATATTCTAAGCATTGGTGTAAGATTTATTCGCGGCTCAAATACTAATAGAACACTAACTGTATCTCTTCATTGGGCCAAAGGCGATTGCATCTAGTTGTGTATTTAATGCTGTTGCATCAAGTAAAGCAATATTTTGTAAACCCAAGAGCATTTTTATTGCAGTTGTGCCAACAAAAGTAAAACTAGGTAGGCCTAATTGCAAAGCCAAAAAAAAAGAAATTTTTTAGTTAACTGCAAATTATTCCAAAAAATTTCGCTGTGCTCTCTGTAATAAATCTTTTTGGAACCCCTACAAAACTGGCCTAAGTTTATTCCAGTTGGTTGCGAGGGTTGAGACAACCTAGTTGAGTTGTTTTCGGAGTGTAGAAAATCTTTTATCTTTTTGAATAATATTTTTAGCATCTTTTGCACCTTTTGGACTTCATGTTAATTTAAGGTGGAAAAAATTTTTAAATAAACAAAAGATGTGTTTCATAAAAAATGAAATAATTGATGTGTTTTATAAAAAATGAAATAATTGAGAGAAATATTTAAATAAAAAAAATGTGTTTCATAAAAAATGAAATAATTGAGGCATTAAAGAAACCTATATAAACTTTGACTTTGATTAGAAAAATCTGGCTGTTTTTACTTTAAAAAGAAGATACGCTTATGTCAAATCATTTTCTTTTTTAAACATTTTCAAATCAAACAAAATCTTTTTTAATCTTTTTCTTTACTTTAAACTCTTTCTTAAAAGTTTTTCAAGTCTTTAAATCAGTTTTATAAATCTTTGTATAAACGTTTACCGAAATAAACAGTTTCTTAGATAATTGCTTCATGTAACAGTAATTATTTTATGTTTGTGTAACACTGATCTTATAAAGAGCCTATAGGCTTAAGTTAAAGTAAGTATGATTTTGTTTTTAAAATATAATTTTTGTTTGATTATTTTTGATGAATAGATACTAAAGAAAGAGCCACCAATTATTTTTAGTGACTAAAGAAAAGGTCTTTATAGTTTATAGTGAGTTATGTGTAAAAGAATTAAGTATTTAGCTCTCAAATACTTAGAGTTAAATGACATTTAAATATAACTGTTGTACGAGGTTTTTACATCAAAATTCCGTGTTCAAAATTCAGAACTTTTTAAAACTTATTTTTCTACAGAGTTCAGAAGTCTTTAAACTGGGGCTCCAAAATTTCAAATTAACAAAAGTTAAAAAAAAAGGATAATAATGATTTATTTTAAATCCTAGCGACATTAGGATTTTTGATTGCTAGTTTAAAAGTTATATGAGTTTTAACTTTATCTAGTTGTTGTTTTTCCATTTAAAAATAGATTGTTACCATGTTCACATGTTCTTATGCCATATTGTTTTATTATATTTATCTTACTATCCCAAGTTCTTGCATTATGTTACGTAATTGAATGCAATTAAAAACTTAGATTGTAAATGCTCGAGTAACCTAGGCTTCAATTAATAACACACCTATTAGTAACTGTATTTGTTCTTTATAATATGTGTTAGTAACTGTATTAGTTTGGTATAGTATATGTTAGAAATTCTATCCGTTCGTTATAACATGTGTTGCAACTGTATCAGTTGATTAATGTATGAAAACATTTTTGTTTTTTAAATTTCAAAATTCCGTTACCAATACAAAACAAAAACATGCCGTGAACATTTTTTTTTTGCTGTAAATAATTTTTATATCTTTATAGTTGCTATAACTTCAGTAATATTTCAAGCAATAACCAAAAACATTTGAAAAAGTAAAACAAAGTTCTTAAGAACGTAAAATTGGTGTGAAAATTAAAAAAATTTATATACGTAATTTTCGACTTTTTTAACGTTAAATTTTCAAAGTAATGAAAACTTAACGTTTTGACATTTTTAAAAAAATATTTTTCGTAATTTTAAATTTTTTAAATTTAAATTTGTATAAAATTTCCATCGTTTACAGGATTCACATTTCACAGAATAATAAATACAAAACTTTAGATTAATTAATGCAATTAAATTGTTTAACTAAACACTTTTTTAGAATTTATAAAAATTTAGATTAAAAAAATATCATGAGCTCTATCAATTTACTTAAATTTACATTATGCTTGAATAAAATTATTGACATGTATCTATATCTACCGTTATAAGACTATGGCTGGCCATTTTATTAAACGTTTGCGTAAAACGACTGTTTCTACTTTTTGTAAAAGTATCTTCGCTATATTTTGAAGTTCTACTACTCGGAGCGCAACTTCGTCTTCGCTTTGAAAAAAAGCCTATGTTTTTTTCCGAATCAATGTTGTAGAATATAAAAATGATCACCGTTCTATAAAGTTCTTTGAACGACTCACGAAATTCGGCGTTAAAAATATTGTAAATAACAGGGTTCAGGGCTGAGTTAGTATATAAAAATATATAGCAAATTAAGCTTATGATATTATTTTTTTCCTCATCTAACGCCCCAAACTCGACACATAGTGCAAATATATGATAAGGTAAAACACATATAGCAAACGTCATTGTAATAATACAAAGAAGTTTTACAACTTTTTTTGTTTCTAGTTGCTTTATTTTGCAATTGTTATTTTCAGTTTTTTTTCTATAACATAACTCTCTTATTATGTAAATGTAAGCCATGCATATTATTGTCAGTGGAAACACGTATTGGAAAAGAAAAAGAGCTATAGTGTAAGTTCGCTTTTGTGTGTTTGTCCATTTTTCTCCGCAATGTTGTACTCCATTATCATCCTCGGAATAATTTAAGACAGACATGTAAGGAATGACAACTATAAAACTACAAATCCATATAAATCCAATTAAAACTTTTGCCATGAATATGTTTGGTTGCCGGTTAAATGGTTTAACAATCGCCCAAAATCGAGAAAAACTAAGCGCAACTAGAGTAAATACTGAACCGTATACACACGATGTTTGTAACGGATAAAATATCGAACAAAATGTTTTTCCATATATCCATCGTTTATTGTTTAATTCCATAGGAATTTCTAAGGGGATTGATAAAAGTGCAACCCACAGGTCCGCAATTGATAAATTTAAAATCATCCAGTTAGTAAAGGTTTGCATTCGCCTCTTTTTTGTAACAATAACAACAACTATTAAATTTCCAAATAAACTAATGATCATAATAACTACCAACAATGTAACTATAACAATAGCTTCAACATGGTCAACTTCTGATTTTTTTGTATCATTACTTAGCTTGTCTATTACAGAATGATGTAATGATATGTTGTAGGTCTCATTTTTTGACCTCATTTCTAAAGAAAGATAAATTGCTATTATTATTGATATTGTTTTTGTTATTATTAATATTTGTAGCAGTAGTAGAGTAGTAGTAGTAGTAGTAGTAGTAGTAGTAGTAGTAGTAGTAGTAGTAGTAGTAGTAGTAGTAGTAGTAGTAGTAGTAGTAGTAGTAGTAGTAGTAGTAGTAGTAGTAGTAGTAGTAGTAGTAGTAGTAGTAGTAATAGTAGTAGTAGTAGTAGTAGTAGTAGTAGTAGTAGTGTTTTGATTCATCATAAAATATGATATAACAAAAATACCATACAAAAAAATATAAAAAGTAAGAGGTTTTTAATATATAAAGTATAAAATTACAACTTTTACATGTGTTTTTATAATCTAATGAATTTAAAACAATTTAATTCGAGTTTCAGTTTTAAAATGTTGTCAAAGCCTGGAAAAGAGTGTTTTCAAACCTCTTTAAAATTATCACAACACTATGAGTTGCTTTGAAGTAAAACATATCCCGTGACTTTATGGGTTATCAGAAAAATAAAACCTTTTAATTGTACGAAACATATTTTGAATCATTTCAAAGGATTTCATAATTATTTTTAGGTTGCGCTGCACGAATTTTGCAATCTAAACGTTATTAAAAAAAAAAAAAGTAAAAAAGAAACATTTCACAATGTGTTTGTAATATAGAATTTAGCCATTGTAAAAGGTTAAAATCTATATAACAACTTGATGGCATTGACCCGGCTATTTTTCAAAGCCATCAAGTTCCGAACAAGTTTAGTTAAAATTTAACAAAATGATCCTTAAACTGATCATAAAATTTACATTTTAGCCAAAAATTTACATTTATTTTACAATCATCTTATATCTGCATTTTTCATTAAACAAAGCTGTTGCAGTAAAAATTAAAAAATTTTCGGAAAAAGCATATTACACTACTTCTGGTTTACCTTTTTTTTTAAGGTTAAATAGGGATCAAACAACACGTACCCATAGAATAACAAAGTGAAACAACACCACACAAACTCACAGAATAACAGCGATAATGTTTTTTATTGTCACACTCATTTTTTTTAATTTAAAAATGATCTTAAATTATGTTTTAACATTGACATTAGATAAATGCAAATGGAATAATATGCAGCTATTATTTAAAGCTAGATTTAGTGATGGGGTGAAAAAAGAAGTTACATTTAGTTTGGAAATAAAAAAAGAGAAGTTACATTTAGTGTCGGGGTAAAAAAAAGCAAGATTATTTATACATTTGTATTTGCATTTGATTTTTTTTACTGTAGTTTTGAATTATGCAAATTTTTTTATAAATGATAGAAAAAATGGTGTTTTACTCCACTACTTCATCTAGCATTCTGCCTCTTAACTGAGACGCATTTTACGCTAAGATTGGATGCCTTTTATCTATATTTAAAATTTTTAAATGTAATTTCCCACCTTCTATTAGTGCTGTGGCTAGTGGGTTGAGGACCCATCCGCCCAAAACCTGTTATTAAGATCGCAAAATCTTTAAAATCCTCTATAGACATAATTAAAAAAAAAATGCTACTTAAGTTCGCAAAAGAGCCCCTAAACTTGAAAATGACATCCCTAAACTTGAAAATGAGCTCCCTAAACTTGAAAATAAGCTCCCTAAATTTTCCTCCCATAAAGACAAAGATTAATCATGTGAATTTTATCTTTGGCTAACGGAAAAATCTGACTCAGCAGTTTAACTACGCAATATGTTATTAATTTTCTTTCTAAAAGCTTTTTTTTTTTTTTTAATTTAGCTATTTTAAGAGAATTGCAAGAAAAAAAGAAGAAAAAAAGAAGCAATTTTATTCCAGCATTCTCATTTAAAACAGAATCATCTTACTTTATATATTTCCATGTTTTTAATTAAAGTTTTACCCATTTTTGATTTTTATGGAAAGTTAAAGTTTTTGTCCACATATACAGCACTGATATAGATACTCAGGAAACTAAAGTCAACACACAAGCCTTGTAGTTTTAATTTTTTCTTTCAAGCTTTTTTTTTTTTTTTTTTGCAATTCTAGTTTTAACTATAATTATATTACATATGATTTTTTTTTTAATAAAAATTTATTTTGAAGTCTGTAGGTACATTTTTTAAATAGCAAAGATTAAAAAAAAAACTCTTACAAAAACAGTGGCCGATAAAGCTTTACAAGTAATTGCAAACAAACTTTGCTGTTTATCTTGGAGAAAAAAGTTTAAGTCGTTAATCTCAAAACTACTTATAAAAATTTAACACTTGATTGATAAAAATTTTGGGAAAAATTCAAGTAATTTTTCTGGCGTAAAATAATTCAATAGCTATTCATTCACTGTGTGTTACCAATGACTCGATAAACAATTGAAGATACCTGACGGAAACTTTAAAACCAAAACTACAATATTTTTTCAAACGGAATATGTGATCATGTTTAATTGGTTTACTTCAATTTCTTATTATGACAGCATTTTTTAAAAAACGCAAGTTAAAAATAAAACAAAACGTGTCTTGAGCTAGGATTCAAAATTGCAAAGAACTATTGAAGACAACCCAAAAACAAATATATAACAATTTTTGCAAAGAAAAAAAGGTTGAAAGTATCTATCAAAAGAATGTGTAGCATGAATGATAAAACACCTGCTTTTAAGTTGTTGAGGAGTTTCTAATTAATAAAACAGTTTGAGTTGCCTTTTGTGTAAAAAACATTCTGTTATATTTTCTTCATTTGTATTATTATAAAATACTATTTAATACCGTTAATTGTAAAATTGGTTGTTACGCAAAAAAAAGTCAATATCAGCATCATCAAATATAAAAATGAAAAAAGAAGTCATGTAAACATAAAAATCAAAATAAATAACAATAATGATGAAAAATATTATTTACAATACCAGGATGTAAGTTTACAAAAAAATTTTCATATCACTAAATAGAAAGTTCCACAATTTATCTTTATTTAGAAACCTATAGTTTTAAAACCGCTTGATTTGACTGCAATATTTATAATAAATATCGTAAAGCAAGTTGCAAGACAACCATTTTTTCACATCATTTGAACATACCTAGATAATTTCAAAAATCAAACTTTGATCTTAAAAAAAACTTTCTATTGCTATTATTTTTTCGTTTATTTAAATGATACGTGAAAAGTGTAAAAAGCACATATATTTTTTACGCAATATTTTTGACGTTATTTTATAAACTGCTATGTTAAAACTATGTTATTTGAAGAACTGCATTTCAAAATGTCACTTTATTGTTACCGTATATATATAAAAGAGCCAAAGTTGACCCGTGATGTTAAAGTCACTAACTTTGACATCATGGGGTTGATTTGGTTTTAATCAAAAATCTAAATCAACTCATTTCTTAGGTCTTCAATCTAGCTTTTTAGAGTTAGGTTTTTAATTCTTACATAACTTGAGAAATGTTTTTGAAAGATTTTTAAAAAATATTCAAAACATGTTAAATAATTGGGCTAAACTCTTTTTTAGCATTATTTAAAGCTCGGTCAAATTTTAATTGTTTTGAATAGGTATTTTAAAACTAAAAGCAGCAAAATACTTTTTAAAGTTTTAATCTAATTCCCTCGTTCAGATATTTTTTTAATTTCAACGCAAAAAAGTACTTTTAGTATGCGTTTTGAGAAGCGTTGAAATAAGCAAGTTTTGATTATTTGACATTTTTATCACGCCTAGCACTTTTCTTCAACGGAATTTCAATCAGTTTAATCCCCCCCCCCCCCCCCACAAAAAAAAAAAAAAAAAAAAAAAAAAACTAATTAAAGCAATATTCAAGCTAGTTAATTTTAATAACAGATTTTTATTTTGAATTCTTTCTTTTTTTTTTTTTTTTTTTTTTCTAATTCTTTTGTAAATTGTTTTTGATTTTATATTTTTAGCATATTTACTTAATGCATGCTACTTGCTTTACCTTTATTTTTCTGCATCTTACTCGTCTATGGGACCTTTAACTATGCTACTGTATATGAACAAAGTGTAACGAATTTTAAAATATTATGTTTGTGAAGTATTAACGAAGGGTTCGTTAACAAATTAACATGTACTACTGTTTATCAATTTGTACTTTTTTAAAATAATACGACCTCAACGTGGAGCAATATCACAAAAGTTCGCGCATCTAATTAATATAGTGTGAACAAGACTTATATTGTTTGACTATTTTTCTCAGACCAGTAGCAGTGTTCTACCGTTTACTAAAAACGCCCAGTCTTTTACAGTAGCCTTGAATTTTTTCTTGATGAACAATAAATTATAAAATTGAAAACCCAGTGGGCATGCGTCGTCTTAAGGACGTCTTACGGATGTCTGGACGTATATGAGACGTCCAGCGGACATCCTCTAGACGACGCGTGCCCACTGGGAAACAACTGATGGAAACTTATGCTTTAAAACTAATCAAAACCTAAAACAAACCCAAAAGTACCTTAAAACTATTTTAACTCTTTAATCTTGCATCAATCAACAAAATTTTTTTTTAGGGCAAGTTGTTACCACATCTAAATAAAACAATCTTGCTTTGAGTTCGACCATCTTGTTTTAAGTTTGACCATCTTTCTTATACTAAGAAAAGCAAACTTACCTCAATTAAAACCTTTGATTAAAAATACATGTCTTTGCAAGTAAATACTATTAACAGTAAAATAAAGTCTGTTTATATTGTATTATGTGAATATAACTACTTTTTTATGGTTATTGATCATCGGTAATTACAGCAAAAAAGTGCTAAAAGCAGCACTTATCGCTAAGTACTGCTTTTACCTTTTTAGTGTTAAAGACTTTATAACCAAAAAATAATTATGCTTCATAAAAATTTTTAATAAAAGTATTTTAGAGTTAAAAGTTTTCACCTAACCATTAATATTAATTACAGAAAAAAACACAGCCATTTTAAAATTTATAAAAGTAGCTTACAGAATAAAAAAAAATAATGCTATGAATTCTGGTAACCTTAGTGATATAATAATTATTAAAAAAAAAATGTGAATTTCTTTTCCTGTCCAATAACTTTCTAGCTTACGAATGATGTTACCAAAAAATTCTTCTACTTCGTTTGCTTTTATTATTTCATAAAGTTAAATTGGATTTATGCTTTTTTAACTTGAAAGAATCTATGAATGCTGGCATGTTTGCGCAGCAACTTTAAAAAAAAATTTAAACAAGTTATTGACTTTTGTTTATCATTTGCAGAGGCATTAATAACTTACGAAGATCAGCGTACTTTGTGTAATACACGAAAGCAAATATTTTAATGCAGCATTTATTTATCTTTTACGTCAAAAAGTGTCTCAAAATTTAATTTTATGTTACACGTAAAGAGAAAGGAAATTACTTCTTGTATTAAAATAAATAAGGCAGAATTATAATTTCGCGATCTATTTGTTTTAATTTTTTTATAGTTTATTTGACTACTTGCATTTTATTTAGTTTGATTTACAAGCAGCATTTCAGCTCGTTGATTTGCCGTATTTTTTTATTTGCTACAATATGAACATTAAAGAAACATTTTAAAAAGCTTTTTGTTTTTAGTAAGAAAAACGCAAGGTATGGTAAAATAATAAAAGTTTACGGTTAAAACTTTGTGAAGTAATAAAAGTACACAATTCCAATAAGAGTGCACGGTAATTTAATAAAAGTGCGTCGTGAAGTAATAAAAATGGAAAGTTAAAGTAAGTTAATATAGGTAAGGTAAGAGTTCGGCACGGTAATTAACTGAGAAACGGCACCGTGAAGAACTAAGTACACATTTTATAAAAGTTAAATAGAATATTAATTTACCGTGCAAACAATGCACGATATGTTGATATTCTGTTGAAGTTTTATAAAACTTTTAAATAACAAATTACTATTATAACCAACTTTTTTTAAAGTCCCTTGACCTAGGGTGACGACAAACTTAAGGTGACGACAAAGTAAAATTTGAGTCGAGATAAAGAATTAAAAGAAGAGGAAGATCTACATTAATTTTTCAACAACAGCATTGTTTGTTTATTAATCTACGAGGGCGTCGCAATTGACAGTTCTAAGTAATCATTTTCATTTGTAATACAAACAACTGTTTTCGTTGTAAAAAGTTAATATTAGGCGTTCTTTTTTTTTTACCGTCAAATATCGTCATCTTAATTTCATGTTACAATCTGTAATTGCTTTATATATAAGAAAATAATTAAATAAATTTCCTCAGGAAATCGAAACTTCTAGTTAAAATATTACAACTTTTGTTGACATAGTAAAATTATATTTTGTTATATGTTATTTAAAGGAAAGTTTTTTAAAAAAAAAAAAAAAAGTATTGTTTTGAATATATATATATACCTATAAATAGTTCTATACAATTTGGTTGATGTGAACATGCTTTTTTGCATTATTGCGCAAGCCATAACACATGCGTGCGTATATATATATATATATATATATATATATATATATATATATATATATATATATATATATATATATATATATATATATATATATATATATATACATACATACAGGTGTTTTGGGATTTTACTTAAGGTGTAAATTATTTATCTTTGTTAACATTTAATTATTTAAGCAATAATTAAAAATACAAGTGTTACTAATAGTTACACTTCTAACAAAGTCTACTGTAAAAATGACATTGAAAATTTAAGAATATACTTTGCATTAATGATTTATTAAGGAAAATAGTTTTAATGATAATTTTTTGGCTGTTAAAATATATAAAAATAACATACTTATATGAATATATTGATGACAAAATTTTTATTATTATTTTAAAAACTCACAATTAAAAAAAAAGTTTAGAATTAATTTCGAATTTAAGACATCAAGACAAAGTTTTGATAGCTTGACATAACTAATTCTTCTCAATTCAGTTTATATAAAAAATAAAAAATAAATAAAAAATTTGCCAGATGTTATATAATGAAAACCGTGTTTATATTTCTCAGCCATGTCGAAATGTTCTTATTTTATAACTTGTTTTATATATATTACATTTATCTTTAAAACTTTGAGACTATGATACTTTCTCTTATTTTAATTTCAATACTTTGACATCTCATATATATATATATATATATATATATATATATATATATATATATATATATATATATATATATATATATATATATACATATATATATATATATATATATATATATATATATATATATATATATATATATATATTACCAACACAAATTGGTACTAACATTGTCATCGTTTAACTTTATTAATCATATAATTTCAGTTATGTAAATTTCAATAAAGTGAGTTATTTGCAGTCATTGAAATTCGTTTTTCTACATAATAAAATATTGTGCTAATAAAAAAAAAAATTTACAGATAATCCTATTTTTTTAGTTAATCCTAGATGAACTATTTTTTATCAATATAAGCAATAATTTTCCAATACAGATGATAATTTTTTACCCATACATACGGTAGTTTCAACCGTAAAACTCTAATATTTGCAAGTAAAACAAATATAATGTAAAATACCTTTAAAATCGTTCCCAACTCTTTCTTCCAGCAATATACGCCTGAATTGAGATTGCATATGGGAATAATTTTCGGCCATATCTTGTTGAACTATAAATAAAATTTACGGAGTTTAACCTTCGCTTTCGTTTGCTTGAGAGAATATTTAATACCTATTTCTCAATTATTCATTAAAATGCGTTAAGACACTTCCTGTCTAACTTTTTGAATTCTTTTTTAAAGTCCAACAATTGTAAACAAAAAGGTTCAACAGTTGTTATGTTTTAAAATCAAATAATTAAATGTTTCAAAATGTATATGTTTAACAATTAAAATAAAAAATTAGTGATTTACTCTAATTAAGTGTTTAATAAAAAGTCTTTAGTAAATAGTGATCGCTGGAGGCATTTGGTGAATTTCACTTAATAAGTGATGATCGAGACATTCATAAACAATACTCCAAAAGATGTTTACTAAACGCATACAATAGAAAAATTTAGATTATCCATTTAAAGTTCACAACATTTCTGTCTGTTGCTTAAGCAACAAAAAGGTCTGATACTATAGCGAATAACAAAATAGTGCCCGAATAACCACTATTAGTTAATAACTAGTGCTGAAAAGAAACAATTGATATATATATATATATATATATATATATATATATATATATATATATATATATATATATATATATTAATATATATATATATATATATATATATATATATATATATATATATATATATATATACACATATACATATATATATATATATATATATATATATATATATATATATATATATATATATATATATATATATATATATATATATATATATATATATATATATATATATATGTTCTTATTAATTATCTTGTTACCTGTATGTATGGTAAACCCCTAAAATCTTTTCTTTTTATTATAATATTTGGACACTTTTTGTATTTTTTTCCATTTTTTATTTATTATATATTCTTTTTTTTCTTCTGCTAAACACTTATCACAAAATTATTGTTACAACCATCCTAAAATATTTCACTCGTGTACTTATTAAGAATATTTAGAATCTCTTACATACTTAAATTTAATTAAAGAAATTAATCTTTATTAGATTTTAATTTATTTATTTAGTTTTTATTTGATTAAGATTTTTTTAAATAAAACAGCTGAAACATTTGTTTCAAATAATCCCATTTAAATAACAGAAAAAAAATTTAAAAAAGTATGTTACACTCAAGAGAGTAAAAAATAAGGAGAATTCAGTGCAAAAAATCTATAAGTGTGAAAATTACACCAAGTTAGCGTTAAAATTTCTTTTAGCTATAAAATTGCGTCAATTTTGTGTCAAAATAACACTTAGCAAAAATTCAGCTTTGGTTAAGATAATGATGTCATAATTTTTTTAATAAACGTTTAACGCAATAAACGCTTAGATGAAAGAGATTTTTTTATCTACATATTTTTTGCAAATATGTCACTAAAAAACGTTACTATAAATAATTGCTAATACGTCACTTTGTAAAACAGTGCAAGAGGTGTATTACTATGTATACAAGTATTACTTAGGGTAGGAGCCAAACTTTAAAAACTTTTAATTTCCGAGTCCTATCAGCCTAAAATATTGACCATTTTAAAAAAACCACATTAATTTTTAAAATTATTTAAAGCCAATCTTATGCAAAAATGTGCTCTAAAACACATATTTTTTTAAGACTCCAAGGGAGAATCTAGATTAAAAATTAGAAAAAGCGATTTTTCAGTATGCTTTTAAGGTCTTTATCTTTAAGTTTAAATTTTTAAGAATTGCAGTTCATCATATTAGGTTTGAAAAATGACCACAAAAAACGGCTAAAAACAATGACTTTAAATGAAGTTTGCAATTAAGTGTCGCTGTATGAATTTTTTTTTCAACTTTTTTAAATAGTTTCAAAATAGAGTTTCAAACAGCATACTTCATTTATTTTTAAGCAAAAAATAAATTGTTTTAAAATAATACCTTAACACTCAACTTACCCTAATTGCTAAAAATCTTTAGTACCATAATCAAATGTTTTGTTTCAATATATTAAATTGAATTAGTTTTGTCAATTATTTAGATAATTTTTTACTTAAATGTACTTAAATTATTAAGCTTAGCTAAGTGTCCTGTGCGTATATATAACGGATAACAGTATAAATAAGTGTACTTAAGTTATACTGTTATCCGTTATATATATATATATATATATATATATATATATATATATATATATATATATATATATATATATATATATATATATATATATATATATATATATACATATATATATATATATATATATATATATATATATATTTATATATATATATAATAATAATAATATATATATATATATATATATATATATATATATATATATATATATATAATATATAATATATTATATATATATAAATATATATATACATATATTTATATAATATATAATATAATATATATATATATATATATAAATATATATATATATATATTTATATATATATATATATATAAATATATATATATATATATATATATATATATATATACATATATATATATATATATATATATATATATATATATATATATATATATATATATATATATATATATATACATATTTATATATATATATATATATATATATATATATATATATATATATATATATATATATGTATATATATATATATATATATATATATATATATATATATATATATATATATATATGTATATGTATATATATATATATATATATATATATATATATATATACAGTGCCGGACAGAGCAGTTTGGGGCCCTAGGCAGACATAAATGTGGAGGCCCCTCCCCCCACTTATAATTATTTTTCTTCAATTTTTAAGTAATTTTTATTATTAATATTTATACAGGAAATCATGAAAAAATTGATGTAAGTACTGTATATTTCACTACAATCCCTTTTAAACACAATAATGAACTTTTAATTTTAATTTCTTCAATTTCAACTTTTTGGGGGCCCCTTAAACGTTGGGGGCCCTAGGCGGCTGCCTTATTTGCCTTATAGTACGGTCCGGCACTGTATATATATATATATATATATATATATATATATATATATATATATATATATATATATATATATATATATATATATGCATACCAAAATTTAGTTTATGTGTTGACATAACAGCAACCTTTTGCAAACTTTAAGTTTATATCAAGTTTAAATAAATACAACTGTAAACAAACACTTATAAATTGCATTAATAATGTATTTAATTTACAGAACATTGCGTAGCATGTCAAGGACCAAAAATATGAAACTTCTACTAAAATAATTTTTTTTAATATATATTATTCACCTCCCGAAGGCTGAGAGGGACGCTACAGTATACGAGGGCGTTTATTTTTTTTTCTTGTGGTTACAACTCTCTCTCAATTTTTTTCCTCCGAAACACGAAACTTGGCGAACAAGGCCACTGCAGGGAGTAACAAGTTGAAACAATTACTCTTTGTATGGTATGTATGTTTAGTGTATCAAATGTAGAGTTAAATCCAGTGGGCACGAAACGTTAATAAGACGACTTTTAAGTGTCTTTTGATCGTTTTGAACGTCTTTTAAACGTTTTGGACGTCTTTTAAACGTTCAAAAAACGTCTTTTTTAGGTCCCGTGCCCACTGGGAATGGTACCAAAATTATTATTTGTTATTGTTTACAAAGAAATATGTTCTTCGATTGCATCAAGAGGTACAAATTCAGAAATTTTAATAAATTTATGTTATTAAATGGAATTTTTCATTAATAAATATACTCTAACTTACGTTCGGAGTTTTCAAAATAAACTACTGTGAATTTGAGTATATAATCATAGTTTATTCAAAATGTGTTACAAATTATTGTCAAAATATAATTCAAAACAGTTAATTAATTATCAGCTACTTCAATACTAGTTGAAAATTTGCGATTTTGATCTTTTTTGATACTGTTATATATCTATATATATATATATATATATATATATATATATATATATATATATATATATATATATATATATATATATATATATATATATATATATATATATATATATATATCTATATATATATATATATATATATATATATATATATATATATATATATATATATATATATATATATATATATATATATATATATATATATATATATATATATATATACAGTAATTGTATTTCAGTTGTAGTTTTTTATGTTGGATTGTACTGTTACGCAGTTGTAATTGTAAATCATGTATAATATCTCGCTTTTTTTTCTGCTTTGATTGATTTTACAAAACATAAATAAATCAGTAATTACTTCATCGATCATCAGCTAGAATGAGAAAGGTAACCGCTGAAGTAGGAAACATGCTTTCGTATTTAAAGAGATACTCCGGAGAAAGAACAAAATCTCTACGGATTAAATAAAATGAATGTAAAGTCAAAAAGCAAAAAATAGAAAAAAAGAAAAATAAACAAAGTTATTCAAGTCTAAGAAACAAAAATCAACAAAAAACTAAACGAAACAGACAAACTTAATTTTTTTTTTTAGTGACATTAAAAGTTAATGAAAGTGATAAAAGTTTTCTCGAATGTAATGAGCTTGATACTGGCAATAACATTATCATGAGTGTATTTTACAGTTACATCAAAATATTTATTTAATTGTCAACTTTATATGATGATTTCATATAACTAAAAGTTTTCCAAAAAAAATCCATATAATCCAAATATATATTTTAGTACGATCTAAGTGTTAAGTTTGTAAAAACTGAAAATATTTTTAAAAATAAATTTGCTAAAAGTTATTTATCTGAGGTCATCGCCACTAAAATCACAGTTAACACTGTCACTATTTGAACTTTTTTACTTATTTTATTAGTTTATCTGATCGTAATTGTCTTTAATCATAATCGTATGAAAACTTCATAAAGAAATGCTATTTCAATACGCTATTAAACTTTTATAAATTTATATAAAAAATTCGATAACGTCATCCATATCTTCTTTGAGTCCATGTCTAATTAACATTTTCTTTTATAATAGTTTATTTTTATAAAATTTATGTT